GGACTGCCACCTCAGCGACCGCACGACCACAGGATAGAACTAGAATCGGGGGCACAGCCGACAGTACAGCAACAGTTCCGACTGACCCAACCCGAACTGGACGAATTGAGGAAGCAGCTGGATTACCTGCTCGAGAAGGAGTTCATTCGACCGAGTTCGTCTCCCTTCGCAGCACCGATACTGTTCACACCGAAAAAGGAAGGGGGATTTCGCATGTGCATAGATTACCGCGCACTAAACCGAGTTACCATCAAGTCCCGTTACCCCATCCCGCGAGCCGATGAACTGATCGACCAACTACGCACAGCCCGGGTTTTCTCGAAAATCGACCTTCAAGGAGGTTACCACCAAATCCACGTCAACCCACCCGACTGCCAGAAAACAGCTTTCTGAACACGCTACGGATCCTTCGAATACACCGTCATGCCATTCGGACTGACCAACGCCCCCGCCACTTTTCAAATGACCATGAACGAAGCCTTCTGCCCGCTCTTCGATAAATGCGTCATCGTGTACTTAGACGACATCCTGATTTACAGCACCGACAGAGCACAGCACCTACAGGACATCGAAGCAGATTTTAAAATACTGAGTGAGAACCGCCTACTGACAAAAGCCTCTAAGTGTGAGTTCTTACAGGACAGATTGGAGTTTTTAGGGCACGTTATTTCCATTGACGGAGTGGAAATAGACCCGAAAAAATCACGAAAATTCAAGCATGGCACGCGCCGACCAACTTGACCGAGTTGCAGAGTTCTTTTGGGTTCGTCAACTACGTGCGCCGGTTCGTCCCCGACATGGCGAAGTTGACTGCTCCGTTGACCGACCTGCTGAAGAAGGGGGTTGAGTACACATGGGGGGAGAAAGAGCAAGCTGCCTTCTCAGCCCTCATTTTTTTTTTGTGCTCACCGCCCGTGCTTCGCATCGCAGATCCTCACCGTCCGTTCGAGCTCGTCACCGACGCAAGTGACATCGATGTGGGAGCAGTACTGTTGCAGGAATTCGGGAACGGCCTTCAGCCAATCGCGTACGAGTCCCACAAACTTCACCCGCCCGAACGCAACTACCCGATACACGACCGCGAGATGCTGGCGATCGTGCATGCGTTCAAGGTGTGGCGGTGCTACCTGATAGGAGCCGACGTGACAGTACGGACAGACCATCGTGCACTACAGTACCTTCGCGCCCAACCGAACCTCAATCCGCGACAGATTCGCTGGTTGGACTATCTAGAGTCCAACTTCCACTACACCGTCACGTACAAAAAAGGCGCATCAAATATCGCCGACGCACTCACCCACCCTACCGCCCAACTTCATGCCATCCTACTCGCCCAAACCAACCCACTGTTGACAGGCCTATCCACCCACGGATATCACACCGACCCATTTTTCACGACCGGATATTCACAGCAACTGGCAGAAGCTAAGGGAGTCTATTACGTAAAAACAGGCACCAACCGCATCTGGGTACCCGCGTACTCACTACTGAGGGAACTGTTACTACAGGAGGCACACGACGGAGTTACCTCGGGTCACTTCGGGGTAGAAAAAAAGCGACAGCAACTGCAGCGGTACTACTACTGGCCGGAGCAGTTGACCGATGTACAGCACCACGTGGGCTCGTGTCCTACGTGTCAGGTGATGAAGAGCTCGCAAAAAAGAAAGGCGGGTCAGTTGCAGCCGATTCCACCGCCCGAGCGCGCCTGGCAGCAGGTTACCATGGATTTCGTCACAGGGTGACCTTCGAACCCTAGGGGTAACGACGCGGTAATGGTCGTCGTTGACAGACTGACGAAAATGGCTCACTTCGCTGCGTGCAGGAAATAGATCTCAGCCGAAGAAACCGCTCGCCTGTTCATCGCAACCGTCGTTCGACTGCACGGGATACCAGCCGCAATCATCAGCGACCGCGACACGAAGTTTACCAACAACTTCTGGAAGAACCTTTGGGAGCAGTTCGGGAGCAGGCTACAGTTCAGCTCGTCGTACCACCCCGAGACCGACGGTCAAACGGAGCGGACGAAGCAGACGATGGAGCAGTTGATTCGTGCCACGTGCGACGACCCGACAACATGGGAGCAGCAGTTGCCACTGATCGAGTTCGCATACAACAACGCCACGTCAGCGACGACGCAGCAGTCCCTGTTTTACCTGAACTACGGGCAAAACCCAACAGTGCCCATGACGCCGAGTCCGGACAACCCAACGCCACGCGCACAGCAATTCGCCGAGATTCTGCAAGCTGCCCGCACCAGAGCCGCAGAAGCAATAAAAAAAGCCAACGTCATCGCAAAAAGGAATGTTGACCGCCACCGCCGCCCAGTCACGTACCAGTCAGCATTCCAAATCAGCCACATGATCACCCCCGTTACCACCCATCTACTGTTGCCGACAGACTGGTACATCAGCCCATCATTCCACGTCAGCCTGCTTCGCCCTTACATCCCAACCACGAGCCAACTTCCTCGTCACCGCCCGCCATCCATGACTTGCCCTGCATCGGAGCCGATCATTGAGCTCGAAAATATTCTGAGCCATTGGATTCGACACCCCACAGGTATCAAGAGGATCGAGTTCCTCGTTCGCTGGAAGGACCGCACGCCAACTGAGGATAGCTGGGTGCCCCTGGCCAACATTGAAAACCACCCTGCCCTGCAAGTGTACCTGAGGAGCCGGGGTTTCCGCGATATACACGCAGTCGCGTAGCGGAGGGGGCTTCTTGAGGGGGGGGGGGGGGGGGGTAGTGTAAGGAATTTTTTCGACATTCCTTACCGCGACCATCAACATCGCGTACAGTTGCAGCCGTTGTTCGCCCGTTACTACTAACGGGGCTTCGCCAACTTCGTGCGCACTGTTTCACCAAACCTTGCACTGCTGGCCCAGCCGAGTCGGCCTATGCTTCGGGACTAGCCCGAACCTCCATGCCCACGTACCACTAGCTAGCTCGCATTCACCGCGTAACCGTTGCATGTTTCCGCACATAAGTATTCGCTCATGCCTTCGCTCAGACTTTGTACTCTTTTGACACTCTAGTGCAATCCTTGCTACTTCGTTCCATTGCACCCGTAACAGGTACATTCCCTTATTAACTGTATTTCATTGCTACAGTAACCGCGACCATTACTCTTCTCGACAATTACCTGTTGCAGCGTGTAACTTCCGAGTACGGTTACTGGACGGTCAACAGTCACGACTGTTGACTAACTGCGACTGTTGACCTTCGAGTGACTCTCGAGCTGCCGCGTGCTCTATATGAGCTATTGCGGTACTGGTACAGTAGCGCCGCTTCGTTATGAAGTGGTGCGCTAGAAGAGAACCTTCGGGAATGTTTTAATAACTTCTCAGTTATTCCAACACAAAAAAGGAAGTATGTATATTACCCCTAGGTAACCAAACGTGTAAGAACACCACCAACTTGTCAGAAGACTTGCACAGTAGAGACCCGCTACTGAAACAAGCCCTTTTATCACAATGGTCTAGTGGATTCTAACACAAATTACCGTATGAAGGCCAATCATATACCATTGGTTTCACAACTCATTTTGCTTTTTAGCACATACCCTAATTAGAATGACACTACTTGCCATCCACACTAGCTAGCTACATCCGCATCTGCTCTGCTTGCCACCACTCGCTCCGCTGTTTTACGCACCCTCTTGAACCAATGCTACTTGACAGCACATCTTCATCCATCCGTCCTTTCAAGTGCAACAGGGAAGCGGTTGAGCGGGCGAGGTTTGTGCATCGAATTTCCGGTTCATGGTTTATGCTTCCGTCAGTGCCCTGGACTGGGTAGTATGGGTCCAGAGTCATCAAGTGTGGTTGAGCTGGGGCAGTGGGCTGCTGGTGGTGGTATGGCATGGTACCAGTACTCGTAAGATGCCTTGAAACTTGTGGTGAGTCAGCCTGAGCAGGGTATAGGCAGAAGAACTCAGCAGATCTGCTGGTGGGTGTGCTTGCTCGTAAGATTGGGCTGCTGCCAGCAGCCTGCTGGTGGGTGATATCGGCTGAGTTGCCTACTGGGAAAATTGGTAGTCTCACTTGAGATTTGCTTGTGCTGCTGCCAGCAACCTCCAAGTGGTACAGGCTCAGTGTTCCCTGGGGCAGTAGAGGCTGGTTAAGTGCACTACGTGGTGAAGAGCTACTGAATAATCGGTTTCCTCAGGGAAATCACACATGGACCGTTTCATAATGTGCTGAAATTCGGTGTCAAGGTTTGCCAACTATTTCAGTACATCACAAAGTATTGGCGCCTTGTTTGGTCTAACTTTGGACCAAAATTGGTGTTATGAACCTAAATATGACCTGTTTTGGACCATTTTTGGACCACAAATGAAAGACCAATTTTGGTGTAGTTGGAGACATAGAATTCACCCAAAATCAGCACGAAATTAGCCCTGAATCCACTAGACCCAGATTGGCATAGGGTGAGACCAATAATGGTCCCTTTCAATTCAGATTTTGGCATTACCAACCGAAGCCATCAAAGCTAGGGTGATGCCTATATTTTCAGGTTATTAAGCAATAAAATGTGCTTTATATTAATAAAACCTGAAAACAGAACAGTGTATACCACACAGAACTACACTACATTCACTACAAGCCTCTATCCAAATTAGGGCCATTTCTAACAAAACTACTGTTTCTAAATCACTATTCGGTCCCTACTTGCTGCAGGCTCCGAACACCCTGTCAAGCCGCTACTCATCATCGTACCCCTGCTTCCCCTGCTGCCGCCAACTGATCCTCCTAGCTGCGCCCATTACTGCCGCCTGCTCACACTTCCGCTGCATCCACTGGTGCTGCCTACCCACACCTCCTGCTACACCCATTGCTGCCTCTTGCTTACACTCATTACTCAGCCCATTACTACCACCTACTCGCACTCCTGGCTACACCCATTGCTGCTTCCATTGCTGCCGCCTGCTTAAACTCATTACTCAGCCCATAACAACCGCCTACTCGCACACCTTGCTACACCCATTGCAGCTTCCATTGATGCCGCCTATTCACACTCCCCACTCCGCCCCATGGCTGCCTCCGTTGCTGCCACCTGCTCACACTCCCCGCTGCACCCATTGCTGCCGCCTACTCACAGTCCCTGCTACACCTATTGCTGCTTCCATTGCCGCCGCCTACTTATCCTCCTTGCTGCGCCCAATGCTGCCGCCTGCTCACCCTCCCGGTAGCGTCCAATTTTGCCACCTTTTCACACTCCCCACTGCTCTCCATCACTGCCATCTGCTCACACTCCCCGCTGCGACCAATTCTGCTGACTACTCGCTCCCTACTAGACCCATTGCTCCTTCCATTGCTTCTGGCTGCTCACACTCCCCGCTGCGCCCATTGCCGCTGCCTACTCACAGTCCCTGCTACACCTTCTGCTGCTTCCATTGCCGCTGCCTACTCACAGTCCTTGCTACACCTATTGCTGCTTCCCTTGCCGCCGCCTACTCATCCTCCTTGCTACGCCCAATGCTGCCGCCTGCTCACCCTCCCGGTTGCGCCCAATTTTGCCACCTTTCGTGCACTCCCCACTGCTCTCCATCACTGCCATCTGCTCACACTCCCCGCTGCGACCAATTCTGCTGACTACTCGCTCCCTACTGGACCCATTGCTCCTTCCATTGCTTCTGGCTGCTCACACTCCCCGCTGCGCCCGTTGCCGCTGTCTCCCTCACAGTCCTTGCTACACCTATTGCTGCTTCCATTGCCGCCGCCTACTCATCCTCCTTGCTGCGCCCAATGCTGCCGCCTGCTCACCCTCCCGGTTGCGCCCAATTTTGCCACCTTTTCACACTCCCCAATGCTCTCCATCACTGCCATCTGCTCACACTACCTGTTGCGACCAATTCTGCTGACTACTCGCTCCCTACTAGACCCATTGCTCCTTCCATTGCTTCTGGCTGCTCACACTCCCCGCTGCGCCCATTGCCGCTGCCTACTCACAGTCCCTGCTACACCTTCTGCTGCTTCCATTGCCGCTGCCTACTCACAGTCCTTGCTACACCTATTGCTGCTTCCCTTGCCGCCGCCTACTCATCCTCCTTGCTGCACCCAATGCTGCCGCCTGCTCACCCTCCCGGTTGCGCCCAATTTTGCCACCTTTCGTGCACTCCCCACTGCTCTCCATCAGTGCCATCTGCTCACACTCCCCGCTGCGACCAATTCTGCTGACTACTCGCTCCCTACTGGACCCATTGCTCCTTCCATTGCTTCCGGCTGCTCACACTCCCCGCTGCGCCCATTGCCGCTGTCTCCCTCACAGTCCTTGCTACACCTATTGCTGCTTCCATTGCCGCCACCTACTCATCCTCCTTGCTGCGCCCAATGCTGTCGCCTGCTCACCCTCCCGGTTGCACCCAATTTTGCCACCTTGTCACACTCCCCAATGCTCTCCATCACTGCCATCTGCTCACACTCCCCGCTGCGACCAATTCTGCTGACTACTCGCTCCCTACTAGACCCATTGCTCCTTCCATTGCTTCTGGCTGCTCACACTCCCCGCTGCGCCCATTGCCGCTGCCTACTCACAGTCCCTGCTACACCTCTTGCTGCCCCCATTGCCGCCGCCTACTCACCCTCCCTGCTGCGCCCATTGCTGTCGCCTACTCACCCTCCCGGCACCGCCTATTTTTGCCACCTAGGCACACTCCCCAATGCTCTCCATCGCTGCTGTCTGCTCACACTCCCCGCTGCTCCCATCGTTGTCGACTACACACACCCCATGCTGCACCCATTGCTGCCGCCATTTCACACTCCTCGCTGCACCCATTGCTGCCGCCTGTTCACACTCCCTGCTGCGCCTATCGCTGCCTCCTGCTCACACTGAAAGCTGCACCCATTATTGCCACAGTCTCATCCGCCCGGTTGAATCCACAGCTGCCGCCTAATCAGCCTCTCCGTTGCGCCCACTGCTGCCACTTACTCACCCTCCCCGACCCACGCAGTTCTCCCTCTCAGTCATCTTGCTTGCTACACCCATTACTGCCTCCTACACACTCTCCCCGCTTCGTCCACTGCTGCCGCCTACTCACTCATCATTGCGCCCATGGGGGCCGCCGTACTCATAAAAGTGCCTTATGCTGCCGCATCCACCAAGTCCCGGACATTCGCCTCCTAACTGAAATCTAACCCATTCTTACTCTCTCACCCACAGCCACTACTACTCGCAACGCCTCGACCTTGCTGAGCTGCCCTTGATGTCCCAACTGATGGACAGGTCTGCGTGCGGTGGAGCGGTGCTACTGCCGCTATGGCTCCACCCCGCTGCGTCCCACATGCGATATTGGGGCACCTCCACGAAATACGACGGCGCCCAGGGTCCGGTTTGTCCTTCCCGTGTCGGTAGAGTCGCGTAGTCCGTCGGCTTTGTGACGATGACACGCCACCAATCCATGGCGGGTCCTCGCAGCAGCGACATGGCGTAGCGAATCTCCGCCGTATCCTCCGAGACGTAGTTGGCGTCAAAGAAAACGTTCATCGTGAACAACCACGCCTGAACGATAGGACCACCTCGTTGACTCGGGTCAAAGCATGGCGGACGCTGCGGCTTCAGCGGCATCGGCGACTGCAGTGTTGACTCGCTGGTCGGCACTGAAATTGTGACACAAGGTTGACTTCTGGCCGCATTCGTCGCTTCGGGGTGTGTCGTGCCGTGGTCGTCGTCTCCGTCATTGCGGACGACGCCATCACTGGCCGCGCTCGCGGGCTGCCCCACACTTCCGTGCTGTGATGCTTGTGGTGCGGGTTGTCCCGGTGTGCCTTGTGCTTGCAATTATGTTTGTTGTGCTCGTGCGACGTCATTTTGTAGGGACGTGCATTCTGCCGTCAGCGCCGCGATTTCTTCAGAGCTTTCGCGAAGTTGCTGCAGCAGTTCGTTCAAACGGTCCTGCGTAAGCGTGGTGACGTCGATGTGTTCAGCCATGTCGAAGGGCGTCGGCTCAACTTAGACTAGGCGCAGTCGTGGCTGCACGCGTTTACGAGAGAACGCGAGGACAGCGGCTCCTAGGGGCTGAGGGGCGTGAGTCCCTTCGAGTGAAGTTGATTTCCTGGGGTGCGGAGATGCGCGGTCCGAAAGGAAAGAGGCTCTGAATACCAAGTGTTACGGGTGCAATGGAACAAAGTAGCGAGGATTGCACTAGAGTGTCAAAATATTACAAAGGTTGAGCGAAGGCATGAGCGAATACTTATGTGCAAAAACATGCAATTGTTACGCGGTGCGTGCGAGCTAGCTAGTGCTACGCTGGCATGGAGGTTCGGGCTAGTCCCGAAGTGTAGGCCGACTCGGCTGGGCCAGCAGTGCAAGGTTTGGTGAAACAGTGCGCGCGAAGTTGGCGAAGCTCCGTTAGTAGTAACGGGCGAACAACGGCTGCTGCTGTACGCGATGTTGATGGTCGTGGTAAGGAGTGTCAAGAAAATTCCTTACAGTACCCCTCAGAGTACATGGCTAGCTAGATTGCTATTTATATCCTTGTACTTCTATCTTAATTTCATCTTGTTCTCTTTCAACTATTATTAATAAGGTCACTTCAAGGACTTCATAGTCTTCATTACAACTTAGCATTTCTTATCCTATCCACTACGATTCCGGTTATATCAACATGGTATGAGAGCTAGAGTGGATTATAAGACCTGCCAAGTTCTTGTTCTTCCTATAACAAGCTTCTTATAAACTTATTCATTAAAATTACAAATCTGCATCACTATGGCTCCTGAAGGAATAGCAACTCCAGACTCTCGGGGCCCACCACGACCAGCAACGACTACTGCGCCATCAGCGGTGACTTCCGTCAGCGCCGCCCTCGTTGAGCAGCTTGTCTCTCGCATCAATGCTCTTGAGAGCCATCAAGCCATAAGCATTGACGGCTCAAGCTATGCAAGAGGAGTTGCTCGAATGCCTCTCCCGGGAGAAGATCGCCGCGTCAACTCCGAGAGATCTATTTCCCTTTAACAACCGTAAAGCTTCAGCTCCTGCGCGACAGTCAACAACGCGCACAAACAGAGGCAATCGCAACCATGCAAATGAAGTTCGTTTTGACCTCAAAGCTGAAAATTTCAACTCAATTTGACGGCAAGGATTTCTACACGTGGAGCTTCGAGTTCGAGCTCCTTGCAACAACAGCGCAGATCTGGATGTACTACGACGGGGGCTTACCTTTTCCGTCGGAAGGAACCATCCAGGAGAAGAATCAGAACTACCACGAGTCTCTTCTCGGGTACACCGATCTTCTTCGAAATCTCTCCCCCGTCGAGCAGCTTGGCATCCGCTCCTACAAATCCGAGTGGGCACCCGCGCAAGTGTCTTGGGAGCACCTGCGCAATTCATACATGGCAACAGATCTAGTTACCATGAGTCGACTGCTCAATAAACTGACATCAGTTAAAATGCATCATGGGGAGAAAGCATGACCGTATATCAATCGGTGCCGCAATCTGAGCGACCACACCAAGAAGTGCGGCGGAACCGACCCTGACGACATGTTTTTCTCGATGGTCCTCTCTGGACTAGGACCCGATTGGCGTCAATGCTAGTCGTTGCTCCGTGCGCGAGCAACCATCTCCGAGTCCGCTCTTTGCGCCACACTCCTCTCCGAGCAAAAGGAGATCGATCTGTACAATGAGAAGAACTACAACCGGGAAAAGTTTGCGTTCTTCACTAGAGCAACTGAAGGGGAGTCACAAGAAAAGAAAGGGTTCTTCTGCAAATACTACAAGAAACCAGGTCATACCATGGACCGATGCTGCAAGCGGAAAGCCGCTAACAAAAGACGCGACAATAACTCACCTGATCAAAAACCTGCAGCGCCCTCCGCAAATCCAGCTGCGACAGCGACGATGTCGCCACCCTCCGTGGCAAGCACTTCACAAACTCCTGCACGTATTACATCCAAGGACAAAGGGAAAGGGTCGGTCTTAAGCTGCATTGGTGCGCTGCAGAGCTTTCCGCTACTACGAAGACATTGAATTTTCGCGCATCGCGCCAATTGATCCAATCACACCAAGCCCTGACAATGATCCTACAGTCAGTCGCTGGTTCTACGAGCCGACTAACATCCCACCTGATTTGGAGTTGCCTCCGAGCACGCCGGAGTCTCCTCCCAGCTTTCCCGTGAAGGATGCGAATGATCTCCCGCCTTAGTTCATTGACATCGACCGCATCGTCACACCCAAGATCGCCAGCGTCGCGTGACGAAGCCGCGACAACTTCAACACCTGGTATCTTGACAGCTGCTGCGGACAACACATGGTGGTATCACCAACATTCATCAGTAACTCCAAACGCATGCGACGACCGTGCGAAATCACCGTCGCAAACAACAATCGACTCTAAGCGTACGACATCGGCGAAATTTATCTGCAGTCAAACGACACCAACTTTACCATTCACATCGGAGATGTACTCGTCATCGCCGACCTTCAGTTCAACCTTCTCTCTGTTGCCCAACCGACGAAGTGCGGAGTCGACATTCAAAGCAACTGCGAAGATAAGACCTTCGAATTATTCTACAAAAATACTTACATCGGCAAGGCGGTCGACGAAGACGGCGTCTTCGTATTGAACTTCGCTTCGCAAGGCAACACTGACGACTCACAAAGGACCCTTCTGCTGAAGACGACTCCCACGGAGGCTCCAACTTGGTCGCACCCCGAGGAGATGGACCTTCAACGCCATGCTTGATACGGACTTCTTCGCCTGCGCGCCGTCCCAACTGCTTCAACCTCTACTCCCGGAGATACCGGACGTGCAATAATGGAACAGGAAGAAGACAGCGGGAAGTCAGCAACTGCAGAACAAGCTGACACTGGAGGATGGGGAGCAACTACAGGACAAGCTGGCACTAAATGGGGAGTAACCGGACCGGTCTCACCCAGTTGGGCCAATCCCTGTGCTGATCCCGGTGCGTGGGGAGTAGTTCAACCACCAGTAGAAGGAGCTGCTCCTGGAGGCTGTTGGGGATCGTCAGCTTCCAGAAGCGGCTAGGGTCCACCAAGCCCTCCTTATCCTGAGGCTCCACCTCTTCCTCCTGCAGACGTGGCGGAAATCGATCCGTACTGGGCAACGCGCGGCACCAGTTGGGGCGGACCTCCTCTTCCAGACCAGTATGCTCCCGAACCTGCAGAAGAAGCACAAGAAGAGTCAGAAGACATAACTTACGAATTCGGGGGAGCACTAGAACTACCCGAACCTACCAAGGAAGCGCCACCGCCGGAACAAGGACCTCGGTTGATCCCGGTCGCCGGCGACGAATACCTTTATCATCGCGTCCCGATGGATGGACTTCCAGGTTCCAAATGGTCTGAGGCGGCACGACTTCCGCGGGAAACCCGCCTTCTCGTCACCGGCAACCCGGTTCACACCGCTGACACAGATGATGTCGCCGGGATTCCCGAAGCTGTTCTGGAACGAGCCTCCGCTCGAGCCTTCGCAACAGATGTAAACGTTGCCACCGACCAAGGACCTGAAAAGCAGCTGCGAGACGAAGCAGAGAGAAATAAGTACTACAAGAAAACAGTCGGTTATCGTTGCCGAGCCGGAGATTTGGCACCAGCGGCTTGGACATCCTTCGCACGCCACGCTAAAGAACTCCATCGAAGCCGAAGTCTTCGATTCAGAAGGATTACTTCTACCCGGCGGCGACGTGCTTAAGGCAACCTCAAACGACCCACCGTGCCTCATCTTCCCCACCGCGTCGCTCGCTCACAAGCCCTTCCCCGACTTACCTCCTAGTTACGAACGCTACCAACCACTGAAGAAAGTCTACAGGGACTTCATGATACATAGCCAATCAGGGCTTGACGACGAGCAGAACACGATGACCTTCATCGACG